AACTCCTATTACCCCCAAGGCCCAATCAGCCCTCAGCTTCTGCTGGCCTAATATATTGCAGCCAGATTTTTTTTTTCTCCTACAAATCTGAGACTTCATTTATTCGGTACCTCTGTTATTGGCTAAGTCAGGAATTAGATTGCCATGTGCAGTAGGTTAAAGTTAATCTTTCAGGCCAGGTGACAATTGACAAGTGAGACAGGAAAGCATATGGGCTCTGAGCCAAGCTACCTGGATTCTACCCCAGCTCCGCCACATACTTCAAATACTTGCTCTATCCTTCTGTTTCCTCATCTGTGAAATGGGGATGATGATGATGATGAGTATAGTCCTGTGTCAGTTATACTAATCTCCGAATGTCACCTGGCATAGACCAAAGGTCACAGTTACACTCTAATTATTAAAATTGAAGATAATGGTAATGCCTATGAATGACTAGCATGTTTGTAGGTTACCAAACCTGCTGCACTAAATACAGCTGAAATCAGTCAGGAACCATGAAAGGGGAACTCCTGTATGGGAATCCATGACCCAAAAGCCTCATCTTTTCCCAGATTCTCCCTCCTGTCTTGGAGACCACAGGTCAGCCTAGCCCACAGCAGCACCTGACAATTGATTGCCTGTGCTGACCCTTTATTTTCTATCCACTGTCCTGGTGTCTCACTTGGGGACATTTTTGTGACCCCAGTTCCTAGGAGGGGCCGGGTGAAACAGCTCCCATAGAGCACTGCCTGTGCGAGTGTCTGCAGCCTGAAAGCCAGTAGACACTGAGTATCAGTCTACAGACTTACTGCCACTGCCAGTGTGGGCACCATGTCCTCTCTAATAGTCTCAGCTGGCCCTGGCCACACTGGCTCAGGAAGAGATGGCTATCCCAAGCGCTTGTCTGGAAAGCTGACAGACCAGTGGGTGTCAGAGTGACCCAGGGAGAGAAAGAGCCAGGCGGAACACTATCTAGCTTTTTGGGGTTCCCCAGAGGATCTACTGACACAACCCAGGAGCGGGAGTTTCTGGAAGACTACTGGCTTGGAGAGCAAGCAATTGGAAAGGAGGCATGCAACTGTGCTGAAACAGGATCCCCCAGGGGCCCCTGCTGCACCGGTCTGAGGGACCCTGGAGGATGAGGTAACTAGCTTCATGGTAAGAGGCACTCATGATGCAGTCCCCACACCGGATCCAAGGGGAAGTGCAGCCCCAGCGATGGACATGACCTGGAAGCACAGAGAAGCCTCCTTAAGTCATTGGACAACACTTCTCAGTGTAGGGCCTGATTGACTTCCCCACCTCTACTCCCACTAGAACATAAGTTCCATGAATCTGGAATCCCTATCAGAACCTTGCTCCACAGAAACATTTCCAAACTCCTAATCACTGCTGATATCCAGAACTATCTCCATGTGGCCATCCTACCCTCCACTACCTCTCCAAGCACTGGACCTAAAGAGGAAGCAAGGTTTTATTGATTTGTCTTTCCCTTGGTTACAGTTCCAAAATTGTCAGGAGCTACAAGAGCTTCAGAAAAGGGCAGAGAAATATCCTTGTGCTAGTCCTCGCTGGCTATGCAGGAGTGAGGTTAGCTTCGTAGTCTATGACCCAGACTACATGAAGCTGATCCTGGGGTGATCAGGTAAGTGCAAACCACTTGTCTGTTGGAGGGGTTCTTCCCTCTTGTATACATTCCTGGGGACTGTGACATTTCAGGAGAGACTGCTGGCTCAGTCATAAATATCTGATCCTCTAACTGCTGTTTTTCCAGCATAAGAGCCAGTAGAAACCCAAATACAGTTACTCTATTTGAAAGTTTAAATACCTGTAAGGAATTGACTTTTCGCTTTCTCCTTCCTTCCTAACTTCATTCCTTCCTAACTTCATTCCTTCCTTCCTTCTATTTCTTTCTTTCTACTTCCTTCCTTCTTTCCTTCCTTCCTTTATTCCTTCCTTCCTTTCCTCTCTTTCCTCCTTTCTTTCTTTTTTCTTTCTTTCTTAATTTCCTTTCTCCTTTATTCACACCTTCTTTTTCTCCTTCCTTCCCTCTCTCCTCCTTCCTTCCCTCTTTTCCACTTTTCATTCTTTCCATCTTTTATTCTTTCCTTCTTTCTTTCTAACTTTCTTCACCACAATGGTGTGTTCCCAGAACTCAAGACAAATTCTTATTCATGATGGCTTGCGTGGAACCCCAATTTGTTGCCTGTGCTGGCACGTGGAATGACTGAGCCACCACAGAAAATCAAAAACAAAAAAAAAAGTAAGAATACAAACAAACAAACAAAAAAACCACTGGACAAGCTACTGTCTTCTCACTAGCACTGAGGACAGAAGCTATATTTCTTACTGATGCAACTTCCTACTCAATAGGCCTCTGTGGTGGGACACTCAGTCTGCCTTCCCGAGCCCACAGTAACTATCAGGAAAGACAGAGAGTCCTGGTTGGAAGGAAAGTGGGAGGTGGATTGACACAAATTGCCAGCTGACAATCATCAGGAAGGGATGGGGGACAATGGTCTAGACCACAGCTACCTCCTGGGGGCAGCCTGTCTTCGTTGGTCACCTCCAGTTTCCTGTAATGCCTTTCTTACTTTCAGTCCCAAAGTCTGATGGTTCTTACAGATTCATGGCTCCCTGGGTAGGTAAGTATATTTAACAAGGACTAAGGTTCACTTTCTGCTTAGGTTGCCAACAAATATCCATTTGGCCCAGATAAATACAAATTGACCAGCACCACAGTCACTCCACTCAACTCTGAATTGAGCTTCCTTTCTCTTCTTCAGATAAAAACCTCACACCTTCCTCATGGTAGGGGAGCCCTCCTGCAGCTCAGTTTCTCCCACATCACTTCTCAGTCCTCTATAATGATCTCAGACTAACTTTTCATTGAAGTCCTCCATTAACTCAGTGCTACTCTGTTTCAACCTCGATCTCACAGCTGTGCACCAAGCTTTGGGAAGTCCCCTTCCTGACATGCACTGTCCTTTCCTGCCTTGTCCAGGATGCCCTTCTTCTGACACCCTGGGTTCCTCCCCAGTTGTCCCCAGACAACTCTTGAGAGGTTCCTTCCCCCCACACACACCCATTGTGGTCCAGGGTATGATTTGCTCCTGTTGAATGGACCGACGTGGTTCCAGCACCGGAGAATGCTGACCCCAGCCTTCCGCTGTGACATCCTGAAGCCCTATGTGGGGCTCATGGCCGACTCTGTCCAAGTGATGTTGGTAAGTTCAACCCCTGCTCACCTGCACACTCACACCCCCAGGAGAGTTCACAAAGTCCACTCTCAGACAGCTGTGTCCCTCAGACATCCATTAGACATGGCCCCCAGAACCACAACTTATATCATACTATGAGACAGGGCCCCCTGAGCATGGATGGAACAAGAAAGCATCCGGGCACCTGTTTTCATCCACTCTTTGCTCACTGCCCACAGGAGAGACAGTCATGGTGGATAAAGGGTCTCTTCTTGTCCCTCTTCCATGTCTTTGACTTGGACAGGAAGAGTAGCCAATGCCCCTAGACAACAGGACAAACTGCCTCAGGCTGGCCTGAACAGTAGCAGCTTCAGTGGCAAGGTGGACATCCCATGATGTCACTCAAGTGGGCTCTGGGCTAGAGCTGAAGGTTTCTCATGGATTTTAGCCATTCCGTGCAGGGAAATGGAGACCAAGTCTCTACCCTCCAGGGCTGGGTCTTGCCATAACATCACCTCTGACCCTGACCCTATTTCTCACTCACTGTGCTCAGCTGACATTTGTTGAGTGAGAGGAACTGAAGTCCCTGATATCCCTTCTTTAGAAACCCCAGTCTTAGCCTCTTGATCTTTTCTTTGCCTTGACTCTTGCTCCCTAAATTGGGACTTCACCTGTTTTTCATGTGTACATCAACCCTAAGACACAAAATGTTGCCCCTTAGTCCCCTGAGGAACAGTGTTTTCTGATCTCCTAAAAGGTGGTTACCACCAAACTTCTTCCTAAGTCAGATGGTAAGAGATCATGATTAATTAAATAACAATTAACTAACTTTCTCAGACTACATTCTGAGAAAATACTCACCGGATTACAAACAAATGGCTATATGGTCCTAAACTGATGAAACACAACTGCTTTAGAAAGTGAGGACATCTCATCCGAATATCTGGAGAGGCAGAGAGAGAGTCCAGCCTTGTCAGCATGGGCCTTCTGGAGGAGTAGAGAAAGATATATGTGTCCCTCTACCACAGGACAAATGGAAGGAGCTCCTCAGCCAGAACTCATCTCTGGAGATCTTTGGACACACAGATCTTTGGATAAGGAATGTTTTCTACCAGAAAGACATCATCTACAGGCTGACCCCTGAAGGCCGCTGGAACCACCGGGCCTGCCAGCTTGCCCATCAACACACAGGTTGTATCTGCCCTCTGGGAAGCTCCCCTCCTTCATCAGTCACATCCCAAAGGGACTGGCCCCTTACCCTCAGGCTGAGTCCTGCCCCTGGCTGCCCTTCCAGGGCCTGGGAAACACCCAACTGGCTACTCTTCTGGTGCAGGTGTTAGGGTGCCAGGTGCTATGCAAGCAGCTACATGTGTCACCCTATTGGTGAAGGTTGAATGAGAGCCCCTACCAGTAGCATTCAAGCAGAGCCTCCTTGGGCTCTGCTGTTGAGGGAGTGATGACCTGCAAGCACCTGGTGCTAGAGCTCCCACCCAACAAACACACCCACTCCCACACTCCTCCTGATCCACCTCACCCTGACTGGGGTACTGTGAGTGTCTGTGTCTGGGCACCCAGAGCGTTCAGCTCTGCCTGGGAACACTGTTCTGGACAGACTGAGTGATCAAGCTGAGGAAGGCTCAGCTGCAGGAGGAGGGAAACCTGGAGAAGGTCAGGAGCAAGAGGCACTTGGACTTCCTGGACATCCTCCTTTTTGCCCAAGTGAGTGTGGCAGGGAAGGCCTGAGGCTTTGCTCACAAGTGTGGAGGAGGGGGGCAATCTCAAACCCTGTCCTCGCTCTGTGTCTTCCCAGGTGGAGAACGAGAGCAGCTTTTCCAACAAGGACCTCCGTGCGGAAGTGGACACCTTCATGTTTGAGGGCCATGACACCACAGCCAGCGGCATCTCCTGGATCCTCTATACTTTGGCCACACACAAAGAGCATCAGCCGAAATGCCAGGAGGAGATCCAGAACCTCCTGGGGGATGGTGCCTCCATTACCTGGTGAGTGCTCATGAGATGGGAGGCCCTGACCCTTCAAGTAGAGAATTCCCTGGCTGCCAGGGCTTTGCCCACCCTTCAGGATAGTTTTGTTTAGGGACCTCCTGGACCAGATGCCCTACACCACCATGTGCATCAAGGAGGCACTGCGACTCTATCCAGGTGTTGGCAGAGAGCTTAGCAAGCCCATCACCTTCCCTGATGGACGCTCCTTACCCAAAGGTGTGAACTTCCCCACTCTCCCTCCATAAACACTCGACAGGAACATGTGCGAGGTCAGAAATCCACATGTTCTGGGCAGTTGGTGCATGTCTTTCAGAGTCATTTCTCCCTCAAGAAAACCAATATTTCCTTTGTTTGTCAGATGAGGTATATGGTATGCTTCCCACAGAGTTTAATCCAAGAAATAAATACATGACAGCCCCTGAATGTGGCTTTGGGTTTTGTTCTAATATTCTTGTTCTTTGAGATATGAGTGCCTGAGAGACCATCAGACAGAGCAGGGGGATAGGAGGTCTTTCTTTATAGGGTCTAAGCTAATGAGAAAGATCAGAGAATTCACCATCATGGCTCAGATGGTCCAGTCTCCAGGGAGCCCTCAGGATGATGGCAGAGAGTAGCTGATGACCAGATCTGAGATCCCTGCCGTCCTGCCACATCCTAGCTGGGTGCTCAGAGGCAAGGTGCTCAGCCTCTCTGAGGCTCAGGTGCTTCATGGGAACAAAAGAGTTCTGAGCCTCCACTGGAGGGTTGTTGTGAGGATGGAAGAGCTGATGCATATTCCCCAAGGGCTCATGGATGGTACTTGATGTGAGTTGTCCCGTGAGTTGCTCCAAAATGTAAGCCTCCAGTTCTTCCCTGCTTTTGGCCTGGTCTTGGTTAATCTACTAACCTGTGCACACGTGCGTACCTGTTATGCTATGTCTGCCCCACCTCTCCTGCAATACTGTCATTCCATTCACAGTGATGAGAAAGGCTCTCACCGTGGCTGCCAAGCTGTGTGTGGGTGCAGCTGGGCCCCACAAACATGTATGTCCAGGCTTCTCTTTCTGCTCCACAGGATTCTTAGTGACAATCTCCTTTTATGCCCTTCACCATAGCCCAAAGGTGTGGCCAAACCCAGACGTATGATACCTTGGGAGGAGGAGGTGGGATGACCTCTCCAGACCAAACCCTCTTCCTGACCCACATCCGGGTATCCTGTCCCTTGGATGATTGGAAGGAAGGTCTTGACCACACCTGTCCTGGCCCTGGTGCTCCCTCTGCAGGTGTTCGACCCTTCCCGGTTTGCACCGGATTCCTCTCGACACAGCCATGCTTTCCTGCCCTTCTCAGGAGGATCAAGGTGAGGCACTTGTACCAGAATGGGAGGAGGCAGGGGCTATTTTGGGGGTACATACTTGATGTTTGTGACTTGCTACATTGATGTGGGTTTCTGTAGATATGCCGTGGCATGTTGGAGTGCTGGGAAAGAGGTATGTGTCTCTATGCAAAGAAAGCTGGTAATCACTGAATGCCATGGAGACTTTGACCCATTGCTCTTACACAATCTCCAGCCACAATTCAGTGTCCGTGGGTGTTCCACAGCTCAGGGTATTCTTGTGAGTTCTTCATTTTGTGAGTATGACTTTACAGAATTAGATTTTCTCACATGTAATTTTCAAGTGTTGTCAAAGTCAAAGACAGGATGGACTCAAAAGTTGTCGTTGCACACATTCTCAAACCAGCCTTTTCTACTCAACTCCCCATTCTGCCTCCACACTGAACCATTGACTACATTGCATGTGTTTCCATACTCAGCATCCTGCATGCCTCAAATATTTCAGCCATACACAAGAAAGTTTCCTACAGTCTCTTAGGGGCTTCATAAAGTACTCGACTAATCTGTGCTGTCGCTATATTTTCACCAACCAAATGAATTATTGACTCTATGGTAATAGTCATGTACACTTGACAATTTTCCCAGTTGTCCAATCAGTACATATGATCTGAGCTCTATATACCTTAATATTACACTTAGAGTCCAGACATCCAAATGGGCAAATATATAAAAATGAGGACATTAAATTGCATTTGGAAAAAAATCCAATCTGTTGTATATATATGACACATGGCATTTGAACATTACCTGGTGTGTAAAATGTAAAGCACACGTGAAGTTGCTGTTCAGTGGGATGACTATTGTCCAGTGTGGCTGCTGTGAAATCCTCCAGTGCTGCTGAGAGTGTCCTATAAATAGTAACTGCAGGAAACGTTGTAAGCAATTACTAGAAAAATGTTTTTCCAAATTCAGAAATCTGTCAATCCTTCACATACAGAGTGAACTAATTTCACACAACATCTTTAAGCAAACTGTGCTTCCAGATACTGGCTCCAGGATTTGTTTCTCCCTGGGATTGAGTCCTTCCTCCTAGACACTGGTGCACATCATGTGGCTGCCAGTAGAGACAGGAGAGGGGTAGACAGCTCAGTTCCTAGCTCAGAACTTATGGTTACTCATATTTTATTCCATTCAGGGTGGGTTTCTTTTTCAGTTCAAGAGACATCATTCAGTTTTAATACTGTCTATTAAGCCTGTCTCTGTTTGCCAAGTCCTCTGCTATGCGATGGCATAATGCCCTTGCCTTCAGGAGTTCACAGTCAAGAAACAAATGCCTCCACTTGAAAGAGACTGCTTCCTTCCTTCCCTCCTTCCTTCCTTCCTTCCTTCCTTCCTTCCCTCCTTCCTTTCTTCCTTTCTTTCTTTCATTCATTTCCTAATTGACCCCACTGTAGGAAGCTCCATTTTCCTGTCACTGTCCTACTCTGGAAAGTGATGTGTCCTTGAGTACAGTATTAGGGTGATGTACAGGAATAAAGAGGTACAGTGAGCAGGGGTGGGGGTGAAGGCAGGCTGGTATTGCCCTTAGCCTTGAGCATGTGGCAGGCAGAGGTGGAGGGAGGGCATTCTCTGGGATCTCCTCAGCAGGAGCTGAGCTGGGAGGAGGGGAGTTGAACAGGTGACAAGTGAGCCAACAACCCCGAGAGGACTTTGATATCTGCTGAGGCATGTGGACATGTTGTACCTACGATGGAGGGCATAGAGCTGGGCCAGGGCATCAGAAGAGGGAATGGAGGCAGGAGACAGAAAAGTCTGCGTGGGGAGGTTGACGAAGGGCAGCAGAGACATTTCTGCCGTAGAATTGGAAAGCTATAGCAGCTTGTTGACTGAGGGGCCAAGGAAGATGGTGCAGCAGGTCGAGTGTCACTAAAGCTCTGCCCCTGCAGAAGCTTCCCGGTCACCATTTTTACTTCCTTACCCAACTCCCTTGTCCTTTCTCTGAGGATCTGGACCCCTGTGTGCCCCAGATGGTTAGGGCCTGAAGGATGGCCCAGCCCACCCCCTGTGGTGCCCTGTCCTGCTCTTCACATTGTGAAACCTGAAATGGCATGTGCAGAGAGTAAACAACTTAATAATTAACTGTTTTACTGATCACTTGACTTGGCCCTGAGGTTCAAGGTGCTGACCTTCTTGTAACGGGATTTCAGGCCTGCTGAGAGCATGGATAGGAATAGGAGCTAATCCTGGAAGAGTGTAGGCTTTGTCAAAGGTCAAGGGAATAGAGTGAAACAAGCAAGGCTAGGTAGGCATAAAGATGTGTGTCTTGAGGAAAATGGATCCAGGCTGGGCCCATGCAGGAGGGACCTGAATGTGCTATTCCTGGCAGGGGATTTGAGGCCACTTCTCATTTCCTTTTCCCTCCCTGACCCAGGAACTGCATTGGGAAACAGTTTGCCATGAACGAGATGAAGGTAGCGGTGGCCCTAACCCTGCTCTGCTTTGAGTTGGCACCAGATCCTTTCAGGATCCCTGTTCCCACTCCAAGAATTGTGCTGATGTCCAAGAATGTGATCCACCTGCATCTCAGGAAGATCCTCTAACCCTTGTGGGGACAAGGATGAGCCCCAAGGGCCTCCTGCCTGCCATCGTGTCTTCCTGTCAGTCTCTCCTGTCTGCTGTCCTCTGCCCATTTCCTGCTTTCACTCTGCCCACTGCCAGCCTCCTGCTCTCCTCCTCTTGTGCATCAGACTGTCTGTCCTTCTCCATCTCACTCTTCCCCAGACATCCTATTTACTTATCTGTTACCCTTCTCCTACCACCTGAATCTGACCGCCCACTGAACTGTTTCCCAGCCTGCCTGTCCTCTGCATGTCTTTTTCTTTTTATGTCTATTTGATTGTCTCTATACTATTTTCTTCTGGTTGCTATAATAACCTATCACAGCCTTAGCGTCTTAGAATAAACCAGTCTGTTCTCTTATAGTTCTAGAGATCGCAGTCTAAAATGGATTTTGCTGGACCACAGCCAAGATATTGGTGGTCACACTGCCACTAGTCTCCAAGGAAGAATCCCTTTCTCTGCCTGTTCCAGCATCAAGCTACATTCTTTGTGATTTTTTAGCTCCTGGAGCCTCCTTTTTTCAAATCCAATAGCATCTTTCAATATCCTTCTGCTGCTGTCTTCATATCACCTTGTCTTCCATAAGGACTTCTGTGATTAGACAGGTACACTCAGATAATACAGATGTATCTCAGCTTCTGGGACATGGACTCTTTGGGAGCCATGATTCAGCCTGCTTAATCCCTATGTGACTGCTGTGAGTCCATGTTTCCAGCTCTCTCCTGTTTTTTACCAGCATACCCATTTGTCATCACATACCCTCTTCTTCTTTCCTCCTCCCTCAAATAAATTTCTTAATGTTGCATGGAGTGTGTGTTTTCCCTTGGAGGAAGATAAATGGAAGAGAAACGAGAAAAGGGGAGGAAAGATGGAGGAGACAGGAAGGGAGATAATAATCGGCTCTGTGATGCCAGCACCCCAGGAGGGCTGGATGTGTCCCATTGTATCAGGCCATGGAGTGGTTGGCTCTCCAAGAGGTACTAGGAGGAACCCCTGTGGAGAAATGGATTGGCCAGTGGGAAAGAATATCAGGCCCCAGTCAGCAAACTACTGATGGCACCTCTCCCACAGGACCCCTTCCCAGTCCCTTGCTTCTCTCATCAACCAACCCTGTCCCATTATGTGATTGCTTGGGTACTGGTCCTCCTGACCCTGGGCCCTGTTCTCAGGCCCTTTTTGCCCTTCTCCACCAGCGTCTCTCAACCCAGACATTATTCTTTCATTGGTTCTAAACACAGATTTTCCTCCTGCCCTACTCCCTGCCATTCTTAGCCCGGACCCTGGATGTCACAGACAGGCCTCCCCGAGACCTCTGCCTATGGTGTAATTCCACATTCTGCCTTCCTGAAGGGGCTTCTTCCCCAGCTAGTGCTTGCATCCAGGACCTCCTTTTCAGTCCCTTGGCTTCCTAGGTTACTGGGCTAGTTCAGCCATGCTTTGAGAAGGGGCAGTGTAGATGTTTCATGTTTGACCAGGAGCAGGAAAATAAGCTGGGAAAGTGCTAGACAGGAAGGTTGGCAGATTCCTCGGCACCAGGTGGTACAGAAGGGCAAGGGTTAGCCAAGTTCAGAGAGTTCAAGGCAATGGGAACTTGAAATTCTGGGTGGCCACCCATGGATAGACACAAGCTCTAACCACAGGATTATGTTGAGGATAAAGAATGTGACCAAGAAGTGGTCTGCTGGCTGCTGACTGCTGGCTCTAAGCAAAGGAAAAAACCTAGGGTGAGTTCACACTCATATACACGACTCCCATGACACATATATGTGTAACTACACGTGTGCGTACCACTCACACACTCTACACTCTACCACGCATGTGCACAACAAAGGCCTGGGGTCGTAGGAGGCAACAGGGTATGTTTAACCAACTGAGCCACCCAGGCACCCAAAACAGGGTATGTTTGGAGGGCTGGAAGGATTAAGTGGAGTTCATTTTGGTGTCCATTAGTCAGCTGCCTTGGTCCTCCCCTCCCGTGTGGAGCCTCCCCCTTCTGTAAGCTCTGGAGTTCTCAGCTCCATTTCCCATCAACATAAACTCTCAAAGAGACAGTCAATACACCTATGGAGTCTTGGTCAAAAGAGGTCAAAGTCAGAAGGCCTCAGTGCAAGCTATTTTCTGATGAGCATCTTGGCAGTTTCCTTCTTCTGACATTGAATTAGGGTAAGTCCTGCCTCATAGGTCTCTTGACAATCCAGAGATGAGGGAAGTAACAAGTCTTAGACTTGGGTGCCACCCATGGGCTACAAGTGGTTATGACCTCTGGTTCTGCCCTCAGATGATGACTATTGATATATACCTCTGCTTCTATGGAGAAAGGTCTATCCAGGGTCAGGACAGAGAGGGAAGTTGGTGGCATGGATGACACCCTTGCTGAGGCCTCTGCATCCCAGCCTCAGGTGGGCAAGGAGGTCTGGGTCTTGACAGGGCTTTGCAGGATGAGCAGGTGGCCCATAGCCAACCTTCCCAGGCTGTGGTCTTTTTCTAAGAGGGGAAGCATCAATAGCAGGAAGGATGTGTCTCCAGATGGTACATCCCCAGGGCAAATATAGATATCTCCAAGTCCCAGGGCTAGAATTGCCCTCACTTATCAGGCCCCTTATTCTCCAGTGTCCTCCCCTTCACTGTTGTCTAATTCCTGGATTAGAACCTGCTAAAGGCCTTATACCTAGGACCATAGAGATACATGGGACCCCAGGCATCAGGCAGCTGCTGCAGGGAGTACTGAAGAAGACTCTCTAATTCATCACATGGCCCCAGCCTGAGGCCCTCCCCCAAAGTCACTCTTTGCACCTTTCTACCTCACCTGCCTCAAGGCTTGATTCAAGCACTGTGTCTTCCAGGAAACCCCCCTTAAATGCCACTCTGCTACCTTCTTCAGCAAAAGCCTGAGCACCCAGAGCACCAGGTGACAATGGCATAGATGCTGCCAATGGCAGGAATGCTAGAGAGACCTGTCTCAAGAGGGGCAGAAGATACACCTGAGAAATCATATTCCATATTCCTAGATTTCAGTGGTGGTTACTTGGGAATTTGTTTTAGAAATCGATAGTCCTATACATTTTTTGTTTATGCAATTTTACCTCACGTCTGTTATATTACACACATGCACAGACAGTTAAGCAGAGCAATACATCTCAATGAAGGGCCAAGCCCCCAAAGCCATCCTTCTTTCGTGTGGAGTGGATGAGGGCCTGATCATAATCATAAAACCCAAGAGACACAGCTTCCATTGTGTTCATTGTGTCACCACGGCTGGCATGTAAGTTTCTGCTACATTCTAGAAAGACTGCCAATTATGGGAGATAAAGGAAGATTCTAGAAGCAAATAGGTGCTCACCATATGTTTGTTGAATGAATGGTTGAGCTCTAGAGTACAGGCGTACTAAGCATTTCCAGACACACATGCTTGCATGGCACTGCCCTCCAGGTGATTGTTTATGTGGGTACCTTCTCCCCATGTAAATTACAAGCCTCTCAAAGACAGGGAGCCGCAACTACTCTACAATCCAGCCTGGGGAGGGCAGTGTCTGGGCTGTCTGGGACCCTCTTCTCAGCAAAGCTACTACCCAGAGCCTGGGCGCAGCGACTTCAGCCAGAGGTGGATGCCATTCTTGGAGCGCAGGATCAGTTGGGGCATCTTGATGGGGGGCCGCAAGGGGTCCAGGGCGAACTCAAAGCGGAGCAAGCAGAGGGCTGTGACCACCTTCATCTCATTCATGGCAAACTGCTGCCCAATGCAGTTCCTACAGTGAGTAGCACAAGGTGGCATCAGACTGTGGTGTGTCCAGAGTGAGAAAACCCAGCGTTCTTAGTGGCCAAGAAAAACCAGTGGCTTAGAAAACACAATAACTGTTTGTGGATAAATAATTGGCTGACTGGTTGATTGACTTGGGGCTTCGGAAACAGATCTTGGGAACAGAGTGAGGGCCCCAGACTGAGTAGATTCACATTGGGAATTCTGGTTGGGGGGCCTCTCTTGGAATGACTCAGCCAGCCCACCACTTGCCAGGGACATGAATATGCTAACGGCAAGAAGAAGGTCCCTGGAACTTACCCTACTTCAAGATCATCAAAAACCCAGCGGCGGCCCCTTTGTCACGGAGTTCCCAAAATGATGCTTTCCCCACAAAATCCTCCATTCTCCCCTCCCATTCCTGGGGCCCTGGGGATTTTGGTCCACTCCTTACCTGGGCCCAGCAGAGAAGGGCATGAAGGCGAAGGGGTGGCGTGTGGCCACATTCTCAGGGGAAAAGCGCAGTGGGTCAAAGACCTGAGAGGACAAGACTTGCTTAAATACCTGCCAGGTCCTGGGGAGAGTGACCTCCATAGCCTCCTACCCCATCTGACCTCCAGACCCAGGGATGTGGTACCTCAGGGTCAGGCCACACTGCGCTGTTCCTATGGAGGGCATAGATGTGCAGAGAGATCAGGCTGCCTGTGGACAGAACAAAGGCCTGGTAGCTAGGTGGTCCTGAGAGAGCTTCAGCTACCTCCTCACAGGGCCAAACTTCCCTGGTATCCTTCTAACTGGACACCAGCCCCTGCCTGAGCACTGCCATTGAGGGAGGGTTCATGACCACCCACAAGACATCAAAGTGCTTTTGACCATCATCATATCTACTTCCTCTGGCCCCAGCACTGGACACAGCACCTAACATAGACATTTGTGGAATGGGGAGAGAAAAAAGAACTGAACCTACCTCATTGTGAGGTAGGACAGGCAAGGTCCATTACAACACTTTGTGCTTTCAAATAACTGAAAGGAAGTTACTATTCTTGACATTATGCTATTAATAGTAACAGCCACCATTTATTGGGTGCACGTTGTATGCCAGATACAGAGTTAAACCTCCTTACAAAGCTACCACATACAGCTGTATAGGTTGTGCAATGAACGTCATCATAGTCTATGTGAATGGTGCCTCCTGAAGTTGTTCAGGTCACAACCTACATGGCGGTACATGAGAGCCCTGAAGAATATTGTCTCTTTAATCCTGAAAACAACCTTGTCAAGCAAATACTCTTCTTGTCCCCATTTTATAAAAGAGGAAACAGAAGCTCGAGGTAGAGGGATTTACCCATACATTGTAGAACCAGGATTAGGACCCAGACCAAACACAAAGCCTGAGTTCTTCCCCACTTGTGCTAAGATTTGACCAAAGGCACAGAGTC